TGTGCGAAAATCATGCTTTGTAATTAATTCTCAGTATTTCGCTGACCGACCTCCGTTCTGAAAATTTATTTATTTATTTATTGAGTCTTCGTGCAAACATATTGCATAAGGCGGACTTAATGCCTCAGGCATTTTCTTCCAGTCAAACCTTTGGGTGTTGCAAAGCTGTGTGTGGCAGGTGTATATTTGGGACAGGTAAAGATGAGACTGAATGAAGCCATGTTACAATGGCAGAAAAGAACAAATCCTACAGATATATAAGTACTAGATATACATACATGTCCGTGTGGTGACGGATTAAGAATACAAATTGTCACCACCCCAATTCATCCCGTGGGTGTCGTAAGAGCCGACTAAGGGAGCAAACTAAGCAGGACAACAGCACTGCAAAGAGAAGGAAAACTTGAAACAAACCCTATACCAACCCGTCTGGCCAGCGTGGTAAAGTAGGCCAAAAACTCCTTTCTAAGGAGAGGCCTATGTCCAGCAGTGGACTAGCATAGGCTGTTGATGATGATGATGAGATATACATACATATAGTTTATACATATAAATATCATAATAAATCACAAAAAATATATAATATATTATATATGATAATAAATTTACTCTCAAGGTGTTATTCTGATGACTCCGTCAACAAGTCTCTATAGAGCTTCCGTACTTTAAGCTTAAAAGTGTATCGGTTAGTGGACATCCTGATTTCTATTCAATATGTATACGAGTACAAGAATTGCTCTGTAAAGCTTTGATGCTAAATGCCTTTAAAATAAAAAAAAAACATGGTTAACGCTAACCCCTGCATACATCTAAGAGGCATAGTCTGATATTTAATACTATTATAACTTGGAGTCTAAAGTGCATACGAACTTTCCACTCCATATTCATTGCTAGGTCACAGAGACGACATACGCAGGAAAGTAAACGTGTGCGTCTAACCGATATGTTATTAACTTACTCTTTGACATAGCGTCAGTGTTAGTCTCAGTTGTATGTATTTTTGTAGAGGAATATTGGAAAGAGTTTCTATAACTTAAGGGAATTACTAAAACTAAACGAAATTCTCATTTAAATCTTGATATATTTCGATTCAATTGCATGGATAAGGTGTCGAGTGGTTTAAGCGGTCGCCACTCCGCTAACTACTACCACGGTACTATTATAATACAGTAATGTAACTCGGCCGCATGATAGAAATAAATGCCTACAGCCGCGCGGTACGTAAACATGCGTTAGGGCTGCCCGTCTCCAGCATTTTAATTATATTTGCCTACTTTCCGTTTCTATTTAGATTTGTGATTGTAAATATCCTTTTTATATAAATAAATGAAATACTTTGTATATTGAATAGGCAGTGTTCAATAAAAATGCGTGTTGTTTTTTGATTGGTAGATTTAATTATTTTATTTTCTTTCTGCATTGGAGGAGTTCAAGTTTCAATTTTCTTTTTCTTGGAGTGTTGCTAGAGAGACTCGTTGAGGTTTGAGCAAAGATTTCATTTGTTGCATTTTCAGTCTGTGTACTATTTTCATTTCCTACCAACGGAGCAGTTTGGGTTTGTTTATCTTCTTTTAGAGAGACTCCTGGATCAGTACTAGCTAAGCTTGGCAGCATCAACAATGGTAGGGCATTTTTTTTTAAAGTTTTCTATTTGATGAATGTAATACATCCTCCAAATTAAAATGTTTTTCACAAACTTGGTAGGAACTAAAGTTAGGTTTGTTTTCCAAATCATCTCGCCGGATCAGTTGCAACCATTGAAGACGTCTGAAAAAAAAAATACATGTGGCACTCTCGGATACTGCCGCGGTAAAGCTATTGCATAACATTTTTTTAAAGAAAAAATCTGCGTGGTGTCAGGTATTTTTCGTTAGGTTTTGAGAATTTCTTGATTCGGTCACCGCGCCGCGCCGCGCTCAGAGCCCGCGATAAAAGCTATGCAATAGCTTAAAAATCCTTCTATAGAATAAAAAAAATGTGCTTTCTCCTTACGCGTTACAAAACTCCAATCCTTAGAAACTCCAACACCTACCTACTACTCAACTAGAATGCAAGAAACAGCTGACGAGTAAGTAACTTTTTATCTCAGCTTATTAACGTCTCTATAAATTAGGTACCTACCTACAACTCAAAACAAAAATTCTTTGGTTACCAATTAATTAATTATTAAAAAGCTGAACAGCTGACTACGAATGTTTTAAAATCACAACCCTCAAACATCTAAATATTATATTATATGGGTCTAGCTGTTGTTGTTAATACCGAGAAAATGAAATCTGTTTTTAGTGGTATATGTTGTTATAATAGCAGCAGAAACACTTTGTGAAAATTTCGAAAACTATCTAATGACACACAGACGGTAAAAAAAAAATTCTAGTATTATTCATACACACAGATAATAAACAAATATTATTAAAAATAAAATACCACGTCTTTACTTTGAATTATGCAAAGTAACAAAACACATATGCACCGAAGTTTTAACACAAGCGTAAGTAGGTAGGTACCTACCGTATCATGATTCATTCAGAACCGCATATAACTACCTATTTCACTCGTCTCAATAACTTTCCGTTACGTTATTCGCTTTATTTATTAATCCAAACACTTTTTTTATAGTTATAGTCTTACCTTTCAGAGTTTCCAGGTAATTTAAAAAAACTTATGTCTGGATGCGTTATTGACGAATTCATACAACCAAAAACAGCACAATATTTTCTACTAGTCATATTAACTGGTTTTTAGAGAAAAAATCGCGCGGTTATTGTTAAAAAAAAACAACACACCGTCCGTTCGACACTGCGGTACAGCCGTGACTGTCTGCGCCCCGAGCGCACCCCGAGATCAAGGCGCGTAGGTATAGCTCGCGTTTCGTCCGTTTGTATGAAGTTGGAGTACTGTATTATAATTGTACCGTGCTACTACGCTGAGTGTTGCTGGTTTGAATTGTCATTTTGAGAGTTTGTTTGTAATGTCCTCCGCGGCACAGGATTATTCCTAGTGCGGGAGTTGTCTTTAAAAAGACACAAAAATGTAAGACTATTCAATAATAACACAGTGTTCAATATGAAAGTGACTACTATTAAATATTTTAACATCAACATTACATCCTGATAAAGAGCTGTAGGGCCCCGAATATATGTGTATGTGTGGGTGTATACATCTAATCACATTTACAACGCCATACAGACATACGCAACGCTTCCTATGCAATGTGTAGAAATACTGTCATTGTGTGTGCATTAAATATGACACTCACTAATAAAATATTTGATTTAAGACCTTGCTTTCTAATCAATGGCAAGGTTTCCTATTGTATTCAACATCCGCATAATTTGCGTCAGACACAACTCTATTTGATTATTTGTACTGCAATTTACCTGTGGCTTTACTCACTTTGAAATAAATTTTCCATAGTTTATTTATTACAGTGATTCTACTAATTTTCAAATCGTATCTGTGTGTTCCCAAAGAATATAACGCCAGAATATGTGTTATTTATTGTTTTATTTAATTAATTTTAGATTAGATTCTTACATTGTGTCTACCTACACGAAAAAAAAAGACACCAACAATTTCGTAAAGCACTTTTCTTAATAAAATACTTAGATTATACCTAACTCTGAGCTCTTGTCTATTTTCTTTTAGTTAAATAACATAAATACACAAAAATATTTAAAACTACTAAAGGAGATATGTGATAAAGAGGAAATCCCACAAATTACCAATAAAGATGCAAAACAAAAACGCAATTTAATCCAAAAAATATTTTATTGGTGGAATAATCTTGTCTTAGTAAACCTTGAAAATTTATGCCTATTGTACAATATTTAGTAGTACAATTAACAATAAAAGTGACTGAACACACACACCAGTCAAGGCTTTGACATTGAACTAAATCAATAAACAATTCATGCTCTTGGGTTTTTGCTATGTGCGAAATAAAGTAAACAACTGATCTGTGAAAGCCTACAAAGGGGCTAAATAAATTTGCTATGTAATACAAACATAAATACCAATCGAGTTCTCCTATATTCATCAAACTATTAGAATAAGCTGGTCTAAGTAAACCTTGAAAATCTAAGCCTATCCTAAAATATTTAGCAGTACAATTAACAACAAAAGTCATTGAACGTCTAAATATTTACACCGGTCAAGGCTTTTTAATTGAAATAAATCAGTAAACAATTAATGCTGTCCGGTTAAGCTCTTTTAGAAGAATAATAATATGCGTAGACAGATATTGTTATCTTTTTGACATTCATTCGTTCATTTAGTTCTTAGATCAATATTAAATTATTAGTTAACAAATACCAGTAATCCACGTTATTGTTATTTTAATTAAAAATAAACTGTAATCTAAAATATGCTGCTGGATCTAACCCCACTCACACTCAAAACTCCGTGTTTCCTGTTCGCTATTTTCTGATGACATTCCTTCCCAGTCCCAGGTATGTCTAAGATGACAAAACGAATTTAGAAAAATGTAGATAAGAAATATCAAACATCTAAATCCATCTGAAATAAAACTAGGTCTCCAAAACTATACGATTAACAAAAAAACAATACAAAGTTGCTATTTTAAGGTATTGGAGACTGGATTTCAAGCTAAGTAAAAACCTATGTTGCCAGGGTAGCGAACTGCTAGTGGTTTTTGGACTTATCCAAGTAGACTGTCGACGTGAGCCCATCCACGACACAAGCATTTCGTTTACCTGTCTTCGTAGGTTAAGATAATAACAAATATTCTTTATTAAAAAGAAACAACAAAAAAGATAGACTATAATCAATTTATTTCAATAATGTATGGAAAGTAACAAAAAAATATATATAGAAAAACGAACTAATGCCTTGGGATTCTTCTTAATGATGTCTTATATCAGAGAGTGTTAAAGCTCTTAAGATAGTTATTTTTTTAAAGATACTTTATGCATGAAAATTCATAAATATGGAGGACATACATTTTTGAAAAATACATTATAACAAACGGTACGGTGAACTTAATCCACGTCTAAACAGTTGGGACCCACTCTCGTACGGCCTGTCGGACAAGAATCTCCATCGAAACTTACTCCTGGTCCTCGTTCTGTTGTGGTATCACCTGTATCTGTTCCGTTGAAACTTCTTTCTGCCTGAATCATAGCTTCTGGTAGCCAATTCAGCCATCCCTCACCAAAGTGTTTATCAAAAATCTCGCAGTTACAATTTTCATTAACAAATAGAGATGTAAACCCAGTTGCTGGGAACCAGTTTGGTCTCGAGAATCGCGATGATCGGACACTCGCTACACAATACACGGTGGCAAACAAAATTAATAGCACAGACACTTTCATTGTGAACAACGTCGTAGATCTGACTGCCTGTGATAACATTCGTGCAGTGGCTGAGTGTTATTAGGTTTAGAAAAGTTATGCTGTCAAGGTCCTTTATTAAAAACCAGTTAAGGTATTTGATTTAAAATTCTATTGCCCGAAAAGCCTTGTTGGCACTTGTTCTTACGATTTGTTTTTTATGTGTTTTATGAAATAGATTAGTAGTGCATTCAACTAAAAAGATAACTGTTTATTTATTTATGCATCAAATATGGTAGTACACATAGGCGTTACAATAAAAATAAGAACTTTAAATGTTCGGTGGTTGTAAGGCATGCAATAGGCAAGTTAATTTTGTTTTTACATATCGAACCTTCGGTAAGTCAAAGGACAGAAGAGCAATTTTAAATTATTTCTTCAATGAATTTGGAGTTTAAGTGTTTTGTATGTATTATATATAAATACATACATAATAAATCTGTTCTATATCAAAAATGTACCAAGTAAGTCTCAGGTACGACTCCTGCTCAGTCCAAGTCTTTACAGCATTGAACTCTATGTATTTGCATGAATTTGGGCATTTGTCAGTCTCATGTGTATATCTTAACAATAAAATATGTCTGAACATGTCTATCTCTTACAGAAACCATAGTGCAAGTTAAGTATATTTCTAGTAAACACTGTGTTAAGTACCGTGGTGACCTTGACTAAGGCATTTTCGTCACTTCCTTTTGAATTACAAATACTCTTACGTAATTCTGTCATATTTATCATCGTTCTATTTTTATTCGAACCGTACCTACTGTTTAAAACCGGATAGGTGAGGTTCCATATAAACTCGTACGTAGATGTTGTGTCCACCTCAGGGACACTTAAATAGAATGTGAGGAAGGAATGTTACATTAAATTACCTTTTGTACTTTCAGGCTTTTCTCGTATCAGGTCTGTATCTTTTTTATTTAAATGTTTTTTACAATTATATAATGGTGACTATAGACAAGATATTTACTGAATAACAGACCACAAAGCGTCAATAATGAAAAATATAAAACGACTAAACTGTGGTCCCTCATTCCCCACAAGAAAGATTAATATTCTAGTAAATATTACTAATTCAAATGAATAAAATCTTTCTATTTCTTCATGAAGTTTTAGTAAGTTTTAAAACATTTTGTAAAAAAGAAATGGGAATAAAAATATCGACGCAATTCGAGGAGGGCGATTATTAAAACTGGTCCCTCAATCTTCACCTCTGCTGACACTCTATACTATACTAGCTGCTTTACGAATCTAGTGTACTAAACTTTTAGTAAAATGTTTCTACTAAATAATAGGGATCTAAAAGTATTTATTTCTTACCTTTTAGCTGAGATACTATTTTTTTTATCCTGTGAAAGTAAACAGAATAGTGTGACCACACAATGAAACAAAATGGAAACTTCTATTATGTTTCATTTAATATAGCATTAGACGAAACTAAATTAAGGTTGTATGGTTAATTTAATGAATGTAAAATATTTCCTGTTTCGGTACGTTTTCAATACATGTCTAATAGTACTGAATTTTTTTTGAAATGTTGTCGTAAATTATTATGTATGGACAGTGCGGAAGAACGATTGACCAAATTATTGTACTATGCTGTTCCCGGGTCCATCCACTCAGATGAACGTTTACGGTTGTTGTCCAGGATTCATAAAACGCAGGGAACAATTTGATTTAGAATTCCCTCGTTTCTATGCCAATTCAGTAGTGGTTTGCATGCTTCGACGCGTAAGTCTCGCTGATGGTCGCTAAGTTCATGTCTCACCCACTTGACGTCTCACCGATTTGACCCAAGTGCTACAATGTTATTTTAGAACTATCAGCATCTCTTGAGTTGGATTCGCTTCCACGAGCGCGAGGTTCGTTCTTCAACTCAAAATTTCCGAATCTAAAACGATTGAACCAATAATGGAACGTGTTTATGCAAGCAGTGTTAGGCCCGTACACGTTTTTTAAATCTTCAATTTCATAGGTACCTACCTATTAATATTAATAATTAAATACAAAATTTCTGTTTGTTTAATAATCAGCGTCCAAAGCTAATTTAAAGTCCAAGGAAGATACAACAAAGGTAACGAACTTGCAAACTTTTTATGAAGAGAAAGTCTGCAGAAAAATATGTAGTTATCGAGTTTCCTTCTTAATATAAATGTAAATTCAGTTTTTAGTTTAGTTCTTATAAGTCACTTTTCCGAAGTTGGGTTAGGAAAGAGGCTGTGCATTTGTTGTTGAGAGAAATATGACCAGATTGCATGTTTTCATTGACTTTCTATTATAACAAAAGTTATTACATGTTTGTCACTGATTGCAGCACCACATATGTATTTAGCTATAAAATAAACTGACAACTTGGTGATGGCCTAATTAATATTTGGATTTGGTAATTTTTATAGATCGAATAAAAGATTCGTCGTAATAGTAAGTACTTAATTTTGATTTAATTTGGAAACAGTATTAATTGATACGTGGATTTTGTTCGCTTTTAGTGAAGGTTTATTAATATTATAATACTATCTGTTTACATACTCACTAATTTAAGTAAATATACGTTAGTTTTAAGGTTATAACATTCCTGAAATCACATCTAGGTTAATGCTGCAAATAAATAACTTAGATGTTATCATCATTATGATCAGAATATCGCCGTCTACTACTGATTGAGGGCCTTCCCCAAGGAGCGCTAACTATCCCGGTCTTGCGTAGTCTGCTTCCATCCTCTACCAGACACTTAGCTTAAGTCGTCGGTTCATTGTGCCGCAGGGTGTCCGACACAACGTTTGCCTAATCGCGGTCTTCACTCTAACACATGTCGGTTTCAGCGACCATCAGTGCGCCTGAAGACATGACCGGCCCACCACCACTTCAGCGTACTGATTCTTCGTACTTCGATTTCAATATATATATAAATATATTTACCCAATATTTCCAGAGTATCTAATTTAATGTGGCTGTGGGGAAGGCATATTCCGCAGAACTGTACTATTTGCAACACATTCATGCTAACGGTGAATATCTTTTGTGATTACGTTGTGTGTTCCAACTTGAGATTTGGGATTTTGCAGTATGATCTAGGTAGTTTTAGATTAATTTTAATATTAATAAGAATTAACAACCAATTTTAGTAAAAAAAATTAGTGAAGGTCAGAGAAATCGTTGTAATAACTCAAATTAAACTATGGAACGCCTCTGACAACAACATAAACCCTAGGTAACCATATCATAGAAATACCACTAAAGTAACTGTACCCAGAATTTCAAATCAATAGGAGTTGTGTAAGTTAGTGAGATCCCTTCATCAACCAAGAAATGAGCTGATGATCTTCACTTTTCACTTCAGTTTTCGAACTTTTCAAACAAACAAAAAACCGAATCGGTCCATTAGTTTAGGAGCTACGATGCTGCAGATAGACACAGACACGTCGAACTTATTATTTCACACTTCTCGACGGGGTTAAAGCAGAAGAATACCAGCGCTTGAAATTGTGGTTACCTGCCAGCTTTGAATAGGCTGGTCTTTAAGTAGGTGTAAGGATATTTGGGGTAGATTAAGGCTGAAATAATTAAGTTCCTTTAGAATATAGATATATAAATATTTGTATTAGTATTAAGAAACTACATACCATAGTCATAACTAAAGCTTAAGAAGTTTAGGTTGATGTAAACACCTAGAGAATTCTAAAATTTAAGGCAGAGTATTTTAATAGATCTTTACCTATGAAGTTGGAGATTTTTAAAACCAGCAGTTGTAGATTTTATTATCTGTGGATTTGCTCACAATTCGAAATTTAAATACATTTTATTTCAGAGCCATGGTATTTTAATTTAAAATTCAGTATTTTTTTTAGAAAGTGTTTTATTTTTGTGAAATTGTGGTAGTTTTTGGTGCTATGGATACAAAGAAAAATTCGGACATTTTTCGAATATGAGTTTCTATTTTTTAATACCGCTGCACAAACAACACGAAAAAAATATTGGTTGAATCCTTTTAGATCTGGAAATGTTGAGTTGAAGAACGATCTTCGAGGTCGGCCGGTAACTATAATCGACAACGATGAATTGAAGGTGATAGTGGAAGCGGATCCAATTCATTCTACGGCTAAGCTACGGGCTTTGGAGTTAGTCACAAAACAACATTGAAGCACTTGCGTCAAATTGGAAAGTAAAAAACTAGATAGATAGATAGATAGATAGATAACTCTTTATTTACACACTAAATTACAGAGTTTCAAGAAAGGAACACAACGATCAAATATCGAGTGTACAAAGGGCGGCCTTATTGCTAAATGCAATTTCTTCCAGGCAACCTTAACTTAACTAGATAAGTGGATGCCACATGAACAAAGCAAATATCAGCGAGACTTGCGCGGCGAAGCATGCATATCACTACTGAATCTGGGAATTCTGAATCGAATTATTAACTATGATGGACAGTGGATCCTCTACGAAAACCGTAAGCGTTGGTCTCAGTCGGTGGACCCGGGTACAGCACCTAATCGGTGCGCTAAGAAAAGATTACCCATAGGAAGATGATGGTGACGATCTGGTGGACCAGTGTCGGACCTGAACATCACAGTTTCGTACCAAATGGCATAACAGTGAAAGCTGATGTCTATTGCCAAGAATTGCAAAACAATGATGGATAAGCTAGCAATTCAACAACCACGACAAATAAATCGCTCTTCCAAATTGCTTGTCCACGACTACGCGCGAGCTCACACTTCACGACAGACCATCGCAAAGCTACAAGAGTTATAAGCTGGAAGCTCTCCGTCACCAACCGTACTAATCGGTACCGTACTAATCGTACTTCATACAAATCTCCAACTTCATAGGTATACCACTATTTCAATTATGTTACGAATTTTTTTTTGAAAGAAGATTACGTCATTTATAACAAAATTGTATCGATTTCTGACATTTTTATTGAATTACTTTTCTTAAATGAATTTTTGTCTGTTATAAATATTAGGCATACTGAC